GCTCTCTTTCCTGCCTATGCAGGGGGTCAGACTCGATGATCTATTGCGGTCCCTTCCAACCCTAATATCGATGAATCTTATTGAACCTCATGAGATTTCTAGAGGTGTACCAATAAAGATTTTTTGGGTCAATACCAATGGCCAATTATTAACCAGCCACATCGGCCAATATGGATCCAATTGCCAATATGCAGCCTGGCAGTTTGGAGAGCAGCGTCTGGCTGGTAAGTCAATGGGGGGGGAGGGGCATGGGGGAGTGAAGGGGAGTGAAGGGGTGTGGTGGTGGCAGATCAAGGCCCCCATAGTGAGGGAGTAAGGCTGGGGCAGGCACTGCACAGCTGGGGCTGTGCGGGGTGCAGAACAGATCCAGAGCTCATCCAGGGGGCACTGAGGGTGGAGTGGGGGAAGCTCTTGCCACTGCACACAACCTCAGGGGAGGCACAGGGGGCATATGCCCCCCAGATCTGTGCGTGGGGTGATAGTGAGCTGCCTGCTCAGGGTTGGAGCCTGCACTGGCCTCTTCCCAGCAGGTGGGCTGGGCACAAGCTGTGCTCATGGTGGGTGGTGGCACTGGGAGCAGGGAGTTGCAGCCACTCCAAAATTCACCGTAGCCCCCCCTCCCAGTTCCGCCACTGCCCACCCAGCCCCTGCCTGCCCCAAGCACAGCTTAAGCCCAGCACCGCCCCACCCCTGCTGGGAAGAGACCGGTGTAGCCTCCGGTCCCGAGCACACAGCCCACCCTCATCCTGTGCACAGATCTGGGGGGCACAAGTCCCCCATGCCTCTCCCAGGTATGCGCACAGTGGCGGGAGCCACCCCTGCTCCCCAACTGCGCCCCCTGGATGAGCTGCGGCTCCATCCTGTGTCCTACCTCAGCTGTGCAGTGCCTGCCCCTGCCCCAGCCCCACTCCCTCCCTCACGGCAGGGGCCTTGATCTACCCACCCCCACACCCCTTCTCTCCTCCATGCTACTTCCTCTCCACAGGCTTACCAGCCGGATGCTCTTCTCAAGCTGTGGCCATGTGCATGCTATGGCTGTGTGCATGCACGCAGCATTTATCGGTGACATTACTGGCCACATTGGCCAAAAAAAGCCAATTGCCGATAATGTCAATTTTCTTTTGGTCTAATCCTCCAATTTGCTGAGGTCTTCCTGAATCCTAACACTACCTTCTAGTGTATCTACTACCCCCCCCCCCCCCCCCCCGCCCCCCTCCCAGCTTGGTAGCATCTGCATACTTGCTGCAGGTGCACTCTATGCCATCTTTCATGTCATTGATGAAGATACTGAACAAAACTGGCCTCAGGACTGATCTTTGGGGCACTCCACTTGATACCAGCTGCCAACTAGACATCAAGCCATTCACTACTACCCTCTGAGCCTGATGATCCAGCCAGTTTTCTGTCCACCTTACAGTCCACTCATCCAACCTCTATTTCCTTAGCTTCTCTGCATGAATATTGTTGGAGACCATATTAAAAGCCTTGCTGAAGTCAAGTATACCACTTCCACTGGTCTCTCCGCAACCACAGAGCCAGTCATCTCATCATAGAAGGCAATCAGGTTGTTCAGGCATGACTTGTCCTTGATGAACCCATGCTGACTGATCCTAATCACCTCCTCCGCCAATTGCTACCAAATGGATTCCTTGAGGATCTCCTCCATGATTTTTCCAGGGACTAAGGTGAGTCTAACTGGTCTATAGCTCCCTGGATCCTCCTTTTTCCCTTTCTTAATATGGTCACTTTGTTTGCTCTTTTCCAATCACCCGGGAGCTCTCCCAATCACCAGGAGTTTTCAAAGGTAATGGCCAGTGAACTCCCTCAGCACCCTTGGGTGCATCCCATTCAGCCCCATGGACTTGTCTAGATCCAGGTTTTCTAAATAGTCCCTAACCTGTTCCCCTACACCACTGTAAGATGCCCACCTCCTGCCCAAACTGTGCTGCCAGGTGCATCAGTCTGGGAGCTGATCTTGCCTGTGAAGACTGAGGTAAAAAAGGCATTGAGTACTTCAGTCTTTTCTGCATCCTCTGTCACTAGGGTGTGTGGTGGGAGAAACCTCCCTAAGGTTCGTTGTCTAGCTGTAATTTGATTGACAGACAACGCGGGTAAAGAAAGACAGCTGTTTATTTGCTCGAGCAAAGACCATAAAGCCAGCAAAAGGCAAAATGGCCCCCCC